ATGTAGATAGAGATGGATTCATTTCTGTTAGAATAAACTATTCACAAACATTACAAGAAAAACTTCCCACCTTCTAGCTGTTGACGGCAAAACAAGCTTGTTCTTACTTCATACCGACAATGCTTACGATGACTTTAGCTGGTTCACCGTAGCTTCCGGAGCTTACACCTTACCTTACCTTGTATCAACTTGAAAACAGCGGGGAAGGAAAACAGCGTACACTAACATGTGTAGGATATTATGTATGAAGTAATTACTAAATTGCGTTCTAAGAGATAAACGGAAATAAAATAAAACGTGAGAATTTAATTCGTAGACTGGAAATGTTAACCTAAAAGTTTTAGACAATCTGCTCCGGTCAATGAAGAAATTCAGAAGCAGGACGTCACAAAATAAAATTGCTAGTTCAGTTTATTTACCTCAAAGTTGAACATTTAACTTATATTACGACTTGCTTCCAGTTTAGTGTAGTGCGTCCTAAAATTGGTACTTAATGTAGGTTAGTATGTGGAAATAGCAACACAAGAATAACCGTCTATGGTATCAGACAGTTTTATTTTTGCAAGATTATAAAATAACTCAGAGATTGTAAGATTGTGTCTTAAGAAATAACCGACATTTTGGTTGCTATTCATGGGCACGTTTTAAAATAATGTCGGTGGTTACCTAATAAAACTAAGGATCAAGAGAAATATCGCACAAGTCAAGGCGATGCAATTGAATGAAAGTATATGTCTGAGCATAACCTTTAATCAACAATGAAGGATAGATTGGTAGCTAGAAGTAGCGATAGGCTAGACAAACCAGCGCTACAGCGGGAGTGTTTTCAAATTCCTGAGGTGCTATGAATGATTCGAGTAGGAATATTTGCACCAGCGCGGAGGTAGACAGACACGGATTGCCATTGAAATAACATTTATAACCTTTGAAATGACCTTTCAAGGTTCAACTTTCGGTATCACTATGATATCCCATCTGCAAGATTTATTGTTCTTTACATTACTTTTAAGGATCGTAAATTTCATCATACTCGCGTGTCCAATACTTAGTTATCATTCTCAGTGCTCCATAGTATTGTTATTTAACCGATAGCAACTCACCGCTCCCAGCTTCAACTTCACCTTGAATGGCGGAAGCGTAAAACCGCGGCAGTCATTACCACTTTCAGACCAGAAAGAATGCATTAAGTACCTACATGTGAACTAGCCAAACATGTTTAATTTAACGTCATTAATTTTGGGCATGCATTAAATATGCCGGAGGTAATTTGGAACCTCTACCTACAGCTAGTGTTTTATTCAACATCGCCTAGATTGACGTCGTCATCGCAAGTGAGGGACTTTAATTGTAGTTGAAAATTTCAAAACTATACTTATATAATAAATCCGTAGAGGTCAATTCTGTACATGAAAAATATCTCTATCAGGGGGTGATTAGTGATCGATACTGATGCCAAAAATGCAATTAGTAAAATTTTTGTCTGTCTGTCTGTCTGTATGTTCCTTATAGAAACAAAAACTACTCGACGGATTTTAACGAAACTTGGTACAATTATTCTTCATACTCCTGGGCAGGTACTTAGGAATTCCCACGGGAACGGGAATTAGCGGGAAAATCCTTTTGTATGAAAAATCTAAACCGCGTAAGATAGATGAAGGGGGTAAAACGGGATCCACGCGTACGAAGTCGCGGGCGGTCGCTAGTAGGTAATAAAGTCATTATTGAAATCTATCAAAGGATCATATTAGCATGTCTCCATTATTGCAATTAAATGGCTTCTTTTGTCTGAATCATAAGATTTAAATGACATTTAAAGATAAATTTGACATTATGCGGAATTAAAATAAAATGTTCTATAACTGAGGTCACGACTGAGTTCCGTACCTCTAGTAGGAAAAACTTTCGAGTTCGTTTCGTTGCGTATTCAAAGTGTCATCGAAAAATTTTGTATGAAAAATTAAACAGCGCCCCCTAGGGCGGCTATAATATAGGGGGCGCTGTTTAATTTTTCATACAAAATTTTTCGATGACACTTTGAATACGCAACGAAACGAACTCGAAAGTTTTTCCTACTAGAGGTACAGAATACTGAAGTTCATAATTTTGTTAAGGCCAAAGTATTATTAACTAAACGAGATAAAATGACAAAGCAAAGGTCGGATTTGCCATTACGATTTACGACACGCACATCGATTTCCGAAAGTGGAGTAGGCAGTTAGGTTTCCCATTTGCTCTGGTTGCGACAATATTCTACGCCAGCCAACTAAAGTTACCCGACAAGGCAACTTTACTAGAGTACTTACGGCAATTTCTCAATCACTAGGTATCGTAAAATTATACGAGCAGTGTTAAGTAATTATTTAAACGAATGGTTGACCAAAATGATTGCTTTACATTCGTTGCTGGAACACGTTATTTGCTAATTGTAGGCCAGCATATTTCAATGTTTTTATGAGTAGATTGCCAACAAACTGAATTTGGGCAGAATAAGACTGCTTGGCGCCAAAACTGTCAGAACTACTCATATGGTCATAATGACACCTAACCCAAAGAGTAACGCGAGAACTCTCACATTATCCCTAGACCAAATTCAAGTCATTGGCTCGTAATCATCTCACTGACATTGACCCCATGCGGGTATCGAACCCGCAACAGCACTATTGTGGCTGACAAAATATGTTAGTACCAGCAAATCGGTACTAAAGTTAAAACATTAATCACTTGTAGTTTATGGAAAAAAGAAACTTAAATTAATCGGTTACATCCATTAATTTACATGCGTTAACAACCAGAATAGTTAATTATCACGTTAGTTCTTTTAAATGACGATTAATTATTGGCGCATCCGAATACTGGTTATTACCTAATACATAATGAGTTTAAGTATTTAATACATAATAACGATCGCGTGTGATTTTTTATTACATTACTCAAACCTACTTACATAGTGACTCAATTCGAAAACGAAATACATAACCTATTTAATTAATCCACTGAGGAATTGTTTTTAAATTGAAGATTTACTACTTACTTAGTGCAATTATAGTAATTACTACTTACTTAAATATTAATAAATACTTACTATAGGGTAAACTTTTTACTTTAAAATAATTTATGAATTAAATTTTTCGTAATAAGTACTCGTATATTCATGTTCACGTAACTAAGTAGTCAATTTAACAATGAGTAAGTACCTACTAAAAAGGTGGAGTCTGAACCGATAGTATCCGCCGCGGGCGTGCTTGGTAATCGAGTTTAATAATGAACTGCATGATAGTACGGGCAAGGTCCACGAGTCTCGAAAGTACCTATGCCGGATCGTTGCGTGGCCGCCCGACATTCCGCCTACCAAATCGAGCTTAACGTTTTCATAAGAAAAACAAACGTCCAGTAATCGCACGTGTAAAATTAATTACTGTGATAAATACAACTCATTGCTGTAATGTTGAACCGATTACGCAATAACCATTATCAAATAAAGCACAGACAATAATTTTGTCTTCTTTCCCATTTTATAAAACTGTCCCCTATTAGCATTACTTGAGGTTGAGGTTTACCTACATCAAATTTTTAGTTTTAATTAACTTACTGTTTTTGTTTCAGTTATGTACGCTGTGCGCAGTCACAGTCTACGCTCAATATGACTCGCCTATCCCACCAAGACTACAAATACCCGGAGCTATCCCAGTCGGCGGTCCCGTCAGAGGAGGGTTTAGACAGGGAAGGCTGAACAGTGCGCCAGTCGCAGGGCCTCTGCCGCGAGCGCGCAGGCCGGGCCACGCGAGACCCTCTTTCAAATCCGTGGACGCGTCGCCCCCGCGGCCCAACCTCCAATCCATTGAGGAGCCCGCTAAGCCAGTTACCGAGGAACCAGAAGATGATTACGAAATCAACACACCCACTGCTTTCTCACCCAACTTGTTCTCGACACCGACGCCCCAAAACGATTTCTTCGACATCACCACGACTTCCCAACCGAAACCACCGATAGTGTTCAACGTATCGCCATTCCAACAGCAGTCTACGCCATCAGTGCCGAAACTGGAGCCCATCAAACCTACTCAGTACCGGCCACTTCTCCCTCCGCAGTCTTTCAATCCAATTAGAAACGAACCCAAACCGCAGCCTGTGAGACTACAGCCGCTGTCGAGCAGGCCTCAGCGGCCAGCGTTCCGTCCCGAGCCGAAACCATTTGTTGAGGAAGATGAGGCCCCGATCCAACCCGTCAGGCAGTACTCGCGGCCGCAGGAGCCCATCGCCAGCCGCGTGCCAGTGAAGCATGCACCCCCACAGAAATACACTCCATCCCACAACCGAGAAAAGAAGCCGGTCGCACAAATTATCCGCAAATACAGAGAAGAGAACGAGGACGGCAGTATTACCTGGGGTTTCGAAAATGACGACGGCTCCTTCAAAGAGGAAACTATTGGTGTTGATTGCATTACTCGAGGCAAATACGGATATGTAGACCCCGACGGTCTTAAACGGGAGTACAACTATGAGACAGGTATTGCATGTGACAAAACTAAAGAGGATCAAGAAGAGAAAGGTTTTATCGATTACCAAGAAAACAAAGCAGTGCTGCCCAATGGCATCACAATTGATCTCGCTGCCATGGGAAAGAAGTCTAGGAGGCCATTCCGATCACCTGTAAATTAGTTTAAGTTTATGGTATTTATTTTAGGGAAATTTAATTATAAGAAGAACACTTACATTGTCTTGTCATAATATAATGAGATGAGTCATTAATGTTGAGTGATACAAATTATTTGAATTTGTGTCTAGGAGAAGACGAAGAAAGACTACAAAGAAATAAATAAAATAAAAATTTTGTACTGCCTCTTTATTTACACAAAATTCATTATAAAAAGGCCAAGAAATCATATTAATAACTCTTACAATGCATAATAAAATAGACGGGTTGAAAAACAAAGTTCATAACATTTTAATAATACGTGAATATGATTTTACCCCTGAAATTGATAATTATCGTTCTTTACAAAGAACTGTTAGTTTTAAGAAAATTCAAACATTGAGACAATTTAAATAGTAAGAATTGAACAGCTTATAACATAATACCTACATAGATTAATAGGGTCGATTGTTCATATAAGGCTGTGGCCGTCTCATTGGAGGTGGCATTCTGTTAGGTGGTGTTATAGATATATCCAAATAGTTGCCAATTTGAAACTTTACTTGAGATAGTGTTTTGTTATCATCACCACCTCTTTGCCCAGAGCAGGTAACACCAATTTCTCTCATACGGTACGTTGGTGACCTCAGATCAGGGTAGACTATAGCAAAGTCAAAGTAGGTTCCTTTACGCCTCGTCTCTGGATTAACTTCTTTGACCAGTCCGGTTAGTTCTCGGAGTGTCGCGTCCATCCATGTGTAAATCTGCAATTCGTTTTGTGGAACATTGCCGCGGGCGTAATCGCCAGGCGAATTATGGCGGCCAGTGGAACAGAACACACGTAGTAGCAGTGGGCAAGTCTGTAAACCAATTTTATTAGTGAATTACTGTACTGTGTTCTTTTACCAAAGGCGTTCTTGTTGCTAGCGGTAACATAACCTCAAAATAAATCAATGTTTACCATGAAAAAAATATGATAAGACAGATATACACGACAAATAAAATTATACATTTATTTACCTTTTCCCTGTCTACGGGTTTTTCTGCTGTTTTAACTTCTTCAACAACCATTGACTCCAGGCCCGCCATTTTCATAATAATCTACGAACAGACAGCGCGAACAATTAGATATCGATCGATGTCATAAAATATTGAGAAATGCAGAGTTGAATCAACTGCAAGTTCTTAATACTGAAAATTACAGCGTAATCAAGGCTATTAATTTATTATAAAGAACCACTGTTGACAAGAAAAATAATCACACACAAGCTGTTTTTTTTACCTATCTGACAGCTGACAGCAGAACTTTTTAATCTGTGGAAGTGATAGACCATTGACATAAATATTTATGGACCGAGTATACTTATAAAATAGACGTGCTCAGCCCTAGACAAGTGGCATTGTTTGACGCGAATCCGTCGTAACTCCTTACGAAAAGTTTCGATAAGGCCTTTCGATCATTTTTCGACTGGTTTGCTATTATACTGTGCGCTTTTAATAGGTAAGAAAAATAAAAACCGAAGAAAACTTGGCTTTATATCATAATGCCTTTGCCTTTTTACGAAAAAAAAAGAAAAGAATCGAACCAAAAAAAAAATCTGCTGTTGACTTTTTGGCGGGAAGTTGAAAAGGGCGGTCTATCTGTTTTTATTTAATTCGTATTTTATTGTTAGTTTGTGTATATTTTGTAAAAAAATTGTTGTAAATTAGTAATTTAGTGTGATTAGTGTATATATTATATAGGGGTAAGTCCATTTGCATATTTATAAACTATGGAGACGGAACCAGCTCCTGACCCTGATCCTCCCCCAGCCACTCCACAATCTCAGTCCAATCCTTTATTGACCTTAATAGAGGCTGATAATTTCATATCTAACCAACATGTAAAAGAATTTGAGTCATTTAAACTAGTAACAAATAGAAAAACTCAGAAAAAAATTAACAAACATTTATTAAAGACCAAATCCTCTCCTAAAATGCACATTACCACTGCTTTTCAAGAAATTTTAACGCAAGCTCCTCCAGCCCCGGTGATCCAACATTCTCAACAGAATAACCATATAATAGGCAGAAACAATTACCAGGATCAGGATGCAGGTCCTTTTCTGGTACATGTCCAACAAAAAGAAACTCCCAACTCTGGCTCCACTCTTCACCCCATCAAATTTGGGAATTTTCTATTCAGAAATAATTTAAAAAATATTTTGGATGATGGCATTAAACGAATAGGGCGAAATCGATTGGCAGTGACATTCAAAACACCTGGTGCGGCAAACTCATTTTTGTGTAATCCAATCACGTTCCCCAGACCTAACTCCGTTCGATTTTTACGTCTGGGGACAAGCTAAAGAACTGGTGTACGTAACGGATTCAAACAATAGAAAAACTACAACGAATAGAAAACGCCTTATTAGTAATAAAAAGAGAAATGTGGCTGCATACGACAACAGTCGAAATTAGAAGAAGATGTCTTGAGTGTATACGTTGCCGAGGCGGACATTTTGAACAAAATTTGTAATAATTAATAAACGATCAAAATAATTATTTTCGTCTTTAATTTCAAGAAATCCACATTGAAAAACGATAGGAAAAAGGTTTTTACATTGCATAAGATAAATATTTTTTACCTGTAGGTATTTAACGTGCTATTCACACAAAAAGGGGCTATAAACACAAATTTCGCAAATCAGTCCGAGTAGAGTCAATGCACTAATTTAAGGAATTTGTGAAGTTGTTGTTATTATTTAAACAAGATTAGTATACCGTTTGAATGAGGATAGACTAGAGAAGTTTTGATAAAATCCGAAGATCGCTATCTCTTTTAAAAAAAAATTATACCCATGTAAACTTAAATGTTCAGTCCATTTTTAACTTTTCGGAAAACTTCAAAGCTGAATTTAAAAAAAAACTAGATGATATTTGCCAGTAAATTTAGATTTGATGCAACCCTACATTAATGCACGTCAAAACAAAATATTTACTTTAGGGCTCCGCCTAGTAGTTTTTTTAAAAATCGAAATTAAATGATGCGATTTGGGTATTTTGGTGAAATTACTAAAAAAATTAATTTAAAAGTAGCCGCCTGGCATGGAACGTGTTATGGGGGCTGAAAATATAGGAAATGACCCATTCTATCCGCCAAATCATTTTGGCACACGATGCGCCAAACACCCTGTATTAGATACGTATTATAAAGCGGCCACTTTGATATCGAGTTAAACATAGCTCTCATGCCTTTCAATCTTCATTATACGACTATGACAAAAGAACAATATTTGTGTTGAGGCTCGGACAATAAACGCATGACCAGGAAACGGCAGCCAAAAGGTTTGTTCAGGTCAATAAAATTCCAAATACTAAAAAACATTATCACAAATTAATGAAAGTCGGCATAAAACGTGCAAAATTAAAGCACGTGTTACCGAACAGCTGTTTGCAAAGCCGAAGCTTTCGTCGAGCCATAGCCTTGGCATGGCGTGATAGCGCACGGCTGGGACAATCACGACGACTGATTAATCTGAATTTATAGTCATTGGCAGCCGAGCGGAACTCGCTCAGTAAACAATTAACTGAAACACTTGTAAATTGTCTCACGGAGACAGTATGAAATAACTTTCCAAGCTATCACCGGGGCGACCGATGCGACGTTCGGCGTCTTGGCGACAATGATTCGCACAACATAACCACTACTACACTGGTGAACAAAGTGCCAAGCTATACACAGTATGATGCTAATATTATCCAAACTTTATTATAAGGATTTCGTTTGGAAAATGTATTCTCAAAAAGATTAAAACAAATAAATCGAGTAGACAACAACAAATAGATTTCTAATTGGATTGTAAAATTCTATAGTCTATCAAAACAGACAAAGTTATGGTATTCATAAACATTAGAATAGCCCCGTTTAGGATTTACGAGCATAGTTTGTAGGCTACAATTCTTCATGTTTTATGTACTATTCGTTGAACGGCTTGTAAGTGGTGGGGTTTTGAAGACCCCTGGGATATGGTGTCCGCACGTGTGGACTCCCATTCATCCGTCATGTTCACGTGCGCCATGCCCCCTGGCAGCGTGCCGCGTGACGAGACCACGCCAATGAAGATGAAAATCATCGTGAACTTTCAAAAACTGACAACGTTTGACAGCTCAATTACAAATTATTTACAGCTGGTGCACCGGCCACAATGAATCATTAAATAAAGCGTATTTTGGCATGTCCGCTCATTCTCATAACAACATCGCCACATTATGAACACTAAATAAATATTTATTTAATAAAATATATGACATAGTATAACTGTAGTGAAATCTGGCAGTAGGAATGTTTAATTTTGAGCCCGCTGTGGGTGTGAAATCATAGACTTCAAAAATAAAAAGATACAGGAAGATATGAATCAACGCAGTGCGGCAGCGTTGCAAAATGAAGCCAAGTGCATACAATGATAATGAGTCAAATTTCTAAAAGATCGCATTTGATTCCGCACCAGTTAACATGAATTCGTCCGACGACAAGGAAATTTCAGATAAAGATAAAATTGATCGTAAACAATCAGAGCGCGTTGCAGACGCAGATTAATTTTGTACGGACAATATTCACGACGGGCTAGTTGGCCAAGCGAATAACAAACGAGCAAAGCGAGCTCTGTTTTAGGTCAACGCTGAACAAATACCAAACGGGTCGGTCGGACGCTTCCGCGGTCTATTTCTGAACTGCATATAAACGGCTTGAGGACTGCGCTGCTGTCGCGACTTTCGCGACGTCCACGATCGTGTTCACTTGCCAAGCAAAATCTAACCTTTGACTTATTTGCTGGACCTTTACCTGTACTCGTACAAAAAAACTCTGCAACAAACGTTAAACTACAAAGCAAAATTGTGATTAACAAAATAAGAGTTTTACGAGGATGGTTAATATGATCAATGAACGTGTAGACGGAAAATAATAACCCTAAATAAATCATCACGATTGCGGAAGCGATCTTTCGTATTTTGCAGGGCAGAAACCCCGAATGAGTCGGTCGTCGTCTCCACTTCTATAATCTAAATAAGGAGCAAAAGTTCAACGGCCCGTCCCGCCCGACTGACTGGTAAGAAAACATCCAGAGACATCACTTTGCTACGTGACACAATTCTTTTTAGTCTTTTAAGTCTCAATCAGCCGGAAAGCTCTCTCCCAAAGATCTCGGTGATCATCTATGAATAAATTAATAAAAAGACAATACCAGCCAAATAACCAGCAACAAGTTGATGGTGTTGACACTAACATTACTAGAGCTTATAGTATAAGCTTCATCTTAACTTATGTATATTAAAATTGTACATTTCTAACTCTACCTAATCACCAATTAGACTTCAATCATACCCACTTAATGTAAAACATCTGTCAATCATCAGAGCTGTCATAAGAATCGGACCAAATCTAGGAGTCACGTCACTAAATTTCGTTTGACATCAGTAATTAAGTAGGTCATTATACCTGCCGTCACCTGTACTACTCACAAACGCAGTCATAAGAGTAAATTTAGGAACGCAAGAATTTAGGTCTAAATGTCAGGCGTCGGGAGGAGTACTTTCCCTTGGCTACTGCGGTGCCGACGGCTGTGACGTACTCCCTTGGCAAGCGCCAAGGCGTGAGACAGGAATTGCGTAAAGGTGTCGTGAACACTTCATTCGACTGTCTCAGAACTTTTCACGACGACGAAAGTACAGAAATACCATTAGCGTCCGTCAACAACGACAAAAATAGTACACATTCAAAATAGTCGCAAAGCATAGTTGTTAATCGTAGTAATACAACCAAAAGAATGTTTGGCAAAGATCTTAATTACTCTACCAGATATTAGGAGCAAAACTTTACATTTCACACAAAGATGCTGCAGTATTTGTTTCAGATAAAGGATCTAAAGTTATGTAACAACAACCAACAAAGATCACAAAATTAGAATCAAAACCCATTATTTACGAAAATTAAAGAATCGTATTGGTTGTAGTCAGGGAAGACAAGAGCAGCAAAATTATAGAACTAAACTACGAAACCTAAACGTGGGAAAAATTTTGGACTCGCTCCAAGCAGCTGATTGATGAGGATGGTCATTTCGTACACGGCCAATCCCGCGCTTTTTCTTATTATTTAGCAAAGTAGTGGACGAGTCTATTTCTGTTAAGTGAAAAACAAGCCACCACGAAATATACTGTTTAAAAAACTCATCGAATTTAGAATAGCGTGCTGTACGTACATTTTCAGACTCTAGAATGAAATTGTATTGTTAAACGTAATAAAATTGCTACATTTCTATCTACGTGTACTA